ACATTTTTGAAAAGGCACTCTTACTGTGCTCCTGGAACACAGCATGTATAGACACTGCCGGGAACGTCAAATCTATCATAAACCACTTCCTGTTATAAGTAAATGTACAGTGTACATGAGAAACAGATACTATCTGTTGTATTATATTATTTTTTCACAAGCATTTCATGTGACTGCTCAAAAGTAAACAAAAAGCACTGAATATAACCTGACAGTTAAAACAAGGCTTTTAGCTTTGCTAATCTGGTCTTTGCAGCAGCCTTAGGCTTATGGGTATGGCTGTAGTGGCACGGTACTGTGTATACCTACAGAGAAGACACAGAGAAGAGACATTTGTGGATTGATTTTTGTGTCAGGTGACCCTGAATCTTTTATTAGTTATGCTGCAATAATCCTAGCCTGCTAGGGGCTTCCCAGGATACCCGTGTTTCTTCTTCACTCACTTTTTTTCACTCATTATTTGGTCTTTTCCACTAGTCCCTACTCAGCTTGACTCAATGTGACTCAACTCTGTGAGTGTAGGGTCATTATAGCAATGTGACCGAAAGTCCCGAGGCTTCATTTGTATGTGACTTGAACACTACAACAATGGTGGACACCGAAACGATGGTGTAACTGCTGCATGGTGTTTTGCTTTTTGTCAGACTCTGGGATCATGGTGTCAGTTTTTATGTAGCCATTTCCCTTGTTGCTGGGTTTGACAGTGACAGTGATTGACAATGGTTTTTATTTTCGTCAAGCAGTCTGTCTCATGACTCATCATGATTAGCCAATCAGTAGAATGCAATCTGTTGTTGCCCAATTTTCAGATCACTTAGATCACTGGAACCCTGGCTGAGTAGGCACTAAAAAAGTAGCTGGTATCAGGTACTACCACCTAATTGAAAACCCGAAAAACAGAGACCCGCGTAGGTACTAGTGGAAAAGGGCTATGTGTGTTTATGCCACACTGCATTTAATCATATTGATTAAACTGCTTGAGCTTCCATTCAGTCATTGCTTTGAATACACAATGACGGTCCACATGAGAAGTCGACAAGTCCACATTAACATGCTGTGGGAGCAATATGCGCACTTATTTGCTTTCAAACTGTATTTTGAAAATTTGTCATGAAAATTCACTTTCAATTTTTCAGTTTTTAGCTTTGGAATTGCAAGAATATTCTGATAAAAATTAATAAGACAAGTTTATTTCTCCCATATTTCGTAACTGATTTTGTCAGGGTCCTGGTTGTTTGACACAGGGTTTTTAGTTTTGTTCTGGAGTTGTGTTATGCTAAGAACTGGATTCATTGTGCAGTGATGAAGGACAACATAAGACTCAATTACAACATGTAGAAACCAAAATACAATTTAAAAATAAATATATAAAATACAAATAGTGTCTCAGTCAAGAGAGATTCAGTCCTCCTTGATTCTCTGAGTGTCCATCCCAGTGAGTTAAACACCATTCTTCCAATGATGTTGGAGACAACAATCTAACCAGTCCCTTTTATATTTTTGTTTTAGCTGTGAGATCTAGATTCTGAAGGCTACTATATATGATTTGCATTATGTTTGCACTTATCAAACCACTGAGTTGCCTCATGTGCTCTCCACATCAATGCAGACCAGTGCCTGTTCTTTTTACATCACTGAACTCTCAAATGTGCATTCATCTTTGCAAAGAAGGCTTTGTGCACTGGAACTCTGTTAAAATCTCCTTTCAGTTGACATTCTGAATCAACGAAGAACAAGTTGTTTTTCTCTTTTTCTTTCATTGACTTATTCACACATTTATCAAAAGCCATTTAGACTGTGGTAGTTCAATAAAAAGTCACTAAGAAACCTGCAGAAAAGGATCACATTACCCTGCTCCTTAAGACATCGCCCAGTCTACTCACATCTCTCAGAATGAATTTTAGCACTCTTTGATTTGCATATAGAGTTTTAAACAACTTAAAACAAAACCAAACCGTGAGACTCTTATTTTTTGCTGCTGTCAGATCACTGAAGTCCTTCAGAGCTTTTGTTTTCTGTTTCTGTTCCACTGGAGTTCCAGGAAGGTGGGTTTCATTTTTAAGCCCTTAAACAATCGGAAAATAGGCCTTAAAGCAAAACAAAACAACACCCAAATTAAATAAAAGGCAACATTCATTTAGGTAATGACTGCAGGTAAATGACTGTAATCGGTCTGCGCTGCTGGTTAACTTGATTCCAAAAGAGGCCACACCTCTTATGGCTGTCATGGCTGACAAAAACTTTGGCCCAGTCATTTTTTCATTTAGTAATGCAGGTCTATATGACAGATATTATAATTTACTGTAAAAAGGTCTGCCTTGACTCTGTATATAACTCAGGAGTTGTGATGTATTCTGCGTGGGTGCCAACATGTTGTGATTTATGACAGTCAAAATAAAGATGGACATGCAAAAGGTAATCAGGAGGAAAACAACAAAAAATTAACAAAATTGTTGTTCCACATAAATGCTTCATATTTAAACATTTCAAGATCTGCAGTCACAGGGGGAAAGAAAGCAAAGTACTTCCATAGGAAGTGATTGGATGAAGAAGATGGAGATGGATAAGACAAGTCAAGAAACAAGGCAACAACATTACCAGACAAGTCCTAACATAGAACCTGAAAGAAAGGAGTAAAATAGAAAGGCCAAAGAATGCATGGTGAAGATGCCCCCAAAAGGGATACCGAGCAACTGTGATACACCTTGCATGAGACCGAATGGCTCAAGACAGAGGCTTTGGGAGGGCCCTTGTTTACAGCCGGTACCCCAGGAGGCATAAATAAATAAGCTTCTCACCATTTTCTCAAAAACCTGTTGAGCAATCAAACCTGAGTCTACTGCAGGAAAAAGTACCAGCACTATGGAAGACAAAGAAATCCGCCTCTTCTGGCCTTAATGACTTCGGACCAGTTGCTTTGAAGTCACATGTCATGAAGGTGCTGGGGAGACTGTTTATTGCTTGACCTAGCTCGCAAATGAAGTCTTCAGTTTGCCTGCCAGTCTCTTGTGGGGGTAGGTGATACTGTTATATACCTGTTGCAGCATGCTCACTCTTCACCTGGATGGTATTGGTGGCATTGTGAGAATCACATTCTTCTATTTCTTTTTCCAAGATCCTAAACAGATTTTTGTATTATACCTTAATGCAGGTGTTGTTATGTACTAGTAGACTGTACATTTTTTCTCTTTATCATGCTGCTGTACCACATTTTTGCTTGTGGGCTCAATAAAGATTCTAGCTATCTAGCTATCTATGAATTATACAACTAACAATGCAAGCTGGACAGGAAGCCAGGACTAAGAAACTAGGAAACTACAGGGGAAAAAAATCAGAAATTAGAAACAAAAAGGAAAAAAAAAACCTCAGGATATAGGAACACACAGTATATAGGTATGAAGGAAAACACATCAAAGGACAAAGGGAGACTGAGACACATACATACAGGTAACAAGGGAAGAGGAAACAGGTGGGAGCTCAGCTGACACTAACCGCAGGGGCGAGACAATGGTAGTTAAACTGAAAACAGTGCACACAGTATGAGGGACTATTAAAATAATACAGAAAACTGAGACAGAGACTGAGCCATACAAACTTGATATAGACAAAAAAGAAAACAGACATGACTGACAGAGGAAACAGAAAACACATGACTGAATGAGAAAGTATGGTGAACTTAACAGATGAGAACAGGAGGACTAGACAAGGGAAATGGGAGACAGACAAGTATGGATGAGATTAAGACATCAGGGAACACAGAAGAGAACAAATCAGGGAAGATGAGACAGAGGGACAAATGACTACAGAAAATAACAGAAGCCAGACCCATGGCTGAACTTGAGGGAAATAGAAACACAGACTAAACATCAAAAGGTAAACACACACAAGACTGACTACACACATGAGACTACAGGACAAAACAGATGAGACAAGGACAGATACGGAAACATAAGGGAAGCAAGAATACAAGGGGACATAAGGAATAAACTGAAACCAGGAACAGACTGAATAAGAAACTAGATCTCTGCAAAATAATGAAACAAATCGATAAATTAAAAAAAAAGACGAAAAAAACTATCCAAACACTGATACATGCAAACATTTTTTGCATCTCATACTCTGCAAAGACACTTTGTATATATTCTGTTTTACTTAATATTTAATATTGTACTGTAATTTTTTGTCTTCAGGTCTGTATTTCAGATGGAATCCAGACATGATCACCATTCCATTTCACAAGCTAAAGCAAAAAACCAAAACACAAACAAAATAAAAGCAGTGAGATTTTGGCAGTCTGTAACAGTTTGATATGCACAGAAGCACTTTTGCAGGCAGACTGGAGCATCCAGGGCTGGAACCCCCATCAGTCCAGTTAGAAAACAACCTGCTGTACTTCTAGAGGCACGGTTGTATACAGTGCTTCCCCGTTTGATTGAAATATGTTAGAACATTCTATGTTCTATCATGGATAAAATATGGGTTTATGAGATTTACAGATCATTGTATTGCGTTTTTATTTACATTCCACACAGCCTGAACTACCTTTTTGGAATGGGGATTGTAAAGTGATACGCACAATACTCAAAAAGCAACTATGATTCAGTAATATTATGGATATGATTCTGTAGAACTTTTATTTTGGGTATTTGGAGTACAATTTGATGCAAAACCTTTGTACTATTTGGGTATTTAAACAGAACCATAATTTAAATCTTAACAACTCTAAATACATGTTTATCCCTTCCTAAAACAGGTATTCAGTGCAAAATGAGGTTTAAACTTTTGTGCATACATTTTTCAGGAGCTACATCTGCATAGCAGTACGGAGCCTGAAAGTTATCCTGTGTTATCCGTTTATGCAATTAGAGTACAAACCTCGAACCTATAAACACACCGTTTTCCCTGCTCGTGAAGACTCCACTCGCTGTTTTCCCTCTTGTCAGCGCGCATCTGCGTCTGTGTGTTCTGCTCCATTTCAGGGAGGAGCGCAAACTGTTTGGCTCTGTCCAGCACCGGCTCCTCTCTGCGTGTAAATGCGCACTGTCTCACTCACCGGACACTGGAGAGAGACCGGGCGGCATTAATACCGGCGAACTGTCAGCCGGCTGCTCAGTTCATTGGGTGTTGACAGTCGTGGAAATTTAAGGAGGAAATAGTTTGTTGTAATCTGTTTTTTCTACTTTTCTACATGCACTTTGCAAAGCGAGCATAGATGTCATCGCAGAGCATGCTTATCACTGGAAGCTCACGATTGAAATGGACGGACGCATTTCTTTACTTGGGTCTGTTCATGCAGTCGGCGGTTTGGGAAACGGTGAGTCCAAACGCACAGCTTAACCTCATCTGTCTTATCACAAGGAGAGTTGGAACATGAAGTAATGTGTCTGTGTGGGTGATTTTAACACGATTTCAGTCACATTGTTTTTATACTGACATGACTTAAAAGATTTGAAAATTATTTTTCAATCAAATAAGATCAATTCTTTTACTTTTTTTTATATTAACTTTTACTTTTATTCACTTTGTACATTTATGAATTATTTCATTGTAGTAGTACAATGGGTTTATCATGAGTGTAGCCTTTGTTTGAGCATTGAGGAAAGGGAATTAGGGATCTTTGCCCCTTTAAATTAGAAGTTACAGACTAACAGACATTTTGTGTGTGTAAAGCTTAGAATACAAATACAATATGAACAATAAAAAAACCCAAAAACGATAGTAACTGTACAATCTATATTTGTGACATTTTAAGATTCTCTTGTTCAGCTTCAGTCTGGGAGTTTAAAAGAAACATAACACATTTTAGTCTTATTATTATAGGCAGGCAGGATTGATAAGGTTTGCTGCCTAATGGTTTTTATTATTAGCAATTAGCCATTAGTCACTACCTCAATGAAAACAGATGGCTGATATATCTATTGAGTAAGTGCTAATAGTTAAATAGTTAAATGCTGTTGAAATGGGAGCTTTACTTGCTACACCATCATATACGTTACTCTCCCCAAATGTTACCTGAGCAGATTCCTCCATATTTTGTTGTAAACAAATTCATTTTACATTAGATGGACTTTTGTGCAAATGGTGAGTTATACATGACGCTGGCATTTTTGTAAAGAGCTAAACTAAACATCTAAATTGTAAAATATATATATATTTTTTAAATCAAACTGCACTGTATACATTTGCATCAATATTCTAACATCAAACATTTATTTTGTCATAAATAGAAAAGCATGTTTTAAACAATTTTATAAATTAAAGTGTTATAATAATTTTCTGCTTCCAACGTAATCATGATCTTATGTGAAAATCACTAATATTTGCATGAGTATTTCTAAAAATTTAAGGTGGAAACATCGCATCCATCATAATCACAGAATGTGTAGATTAGGAGTTGTTTTCTGATATTGACCTGCTGCACATCTGATTCGAACTAGGATGATAATTACTTGCTAGATGACTAATTTGTCTCCAGTGGTGACAAATCGCCACGGATCATGTGACTTAAGAACCAATACATGCATGCATTGCATGTCTGTCTGACTTTTGTTTTTCTGCTTTGATTTTTCTTTCCTTTATAACGAAAAAGTAGAATTTGAGATGTACCTCAGCCATCAAGAGGAGGACTGGATTTCAAAGAACAAACTCGTATAGCTCAAATAAATATTGAATAAATAGTATCTCCTGTGACTCCATTAACCCTCATTGCTCACTTGAGTCTTCTCTGCTTTTGGCTTCAAAAATTTTTTTCAGTAATGAGAACGTAGAAATATTTTCTCCCTTTTCCCCCATTTCTACTATGCATGTGGGGTTTGAAATTCAAATGGCGTAAACAATTTAGTGTGAAGCACATTTCTTTTGCATTTTGTCCTTATATGAATTTTGATTCAAAACCATTGTGGAGTTTCTTCTTTTGGTGCTATGGAGTGATTTGTGTCTTTTCCCTGATCCCGAATGCTCATAATAATCCTGTGTTGCCTCTTCATTTATTAGCTCTTTGCTCCAGATGAAAAGATCAGATTGTCATGGACTCAAGATGCCTTTAACCCCTTTTTCCTTATAGATGGCAGCAGATCAGTATCTTTTGTGAGTTACTGATCAGCTGGAAAACTTTATTCAACAGAAAATGACTGCCTTTTATTACTTTATTGCTGATGTTTTCAGTGTAAGGTACAGTAACAGTCTTTACTTAAAACCCTGGGTTTTTCATATTTCTCTTTCAAAATCACTGCCATCCATATCTGACTCAAAGGCTTTTGTCGAAAAACATTTGACCACATGGAAACACTTGATCTTGATTTAGTCTGCAAACATGAGATGGCGCCTGCATCCGATTGAGATTATATAGCTAGTCGAGCGCCTTCCAGACCTGCACATTCGTAAGTGCAGTCACAAGAATGTATTCTGTGTCTCCCAGTACAATCTCAAGTGTGTGGAGGAAATATCGGAAAACTGGTCATAACACTAGGGGAGCTGGACAGGGCTGTAGAAGGGCATCAGTCAAGCAGCAGAATTGTACCAGGAAAAACAGGAGGAGCATTGCCACTTGCACTGACCTACAAAAACTCCAGTAGGCTACGTGTACATGTTTCTGACCAGACAGAAACAGTCTCAGAGAGGTTGCCATGAGGTCCTGAGGAGGCATGTCTTTGAAGGACATAAACCTCCATAGGCTAGCCAATAAATACTCTAAATGCTGTTAGGTATGGAGATATAATGCTCAGACCCATTGTCAGAACTTGTACTGTTGCAGCTGTTCCTGGATTCCAAACACTGTCTATACACATTACTGAGCCATATGATGCAATTAAAAAATGAAAAGAAAAATTAATAACATAAAATCCAGAGAAAATTGTAACTTGTACATTAACAAGTTGAGTGCACTCAAGCACAAGTCTAAATGGTTTTAGCATCATGCAAGGTGTTACCATGAACCATAACCAGTACATATGCACCAGGCAATAGCTTTTAGGTGAAGAGGTGTTCTGGTGTAAGTCCAATATTGATTCTTCTGTCATCCAGCAAGTCTGTCTCTATAACAGATGAAAATTTTAGCCAGAGATTTTTATGAGAATGCTGACTGAACCAAAATGGGAATAATGTGGACTAAAAAGTAAATCATAAAGATATCCCAGTGCAGAATAAGGTAATTGTTCCTAGTTTGTTTGATAATAGGAGGCACACATACAGTACAGTACAGTGTAGTACAGCTTTGAAATGTTAGTTTTTGATCTCCATGAAGTTGTTTTTCAGTACTACATTCCCATTTTGAGTGCATGTGCACACCAGTGAGGCCACAGACATCCCTACTAATGGCTTTACACGGTTCCTCTGATCTACAAGCACTACATAACAAGGAAGGGAGTTATACAACTACAGCTGTCTTCTTCTTCCCTGTTGTGGGTGAAAACATGAACGTAAATAATGAAGGTTTAAAATTACCAAGAAAATTCAACACTGCATTTAACTGATGGAGAAGAAAGCTGCTATATTAGAATGATATGTATCAGCCAAGTTCATAAAGGTGGGTTCAATAAATTCTTAGGTTATTTAATATAAAAAGTAGTGCTGTCAGCGTTAATCTAGTTAAAATGACATTAACGCCATAACCGCATTAACGCGGAAAATCTCCGTTAACGAGTTAGCATGGATCGCCCCGTGCTTGGGGTTGCACGGCGTTAACGAGCTAACTGCACTAACGCATTGATGCTGTGCAGCCCCATGCATGGGCCAATCTGCACTAACTCGCTAACAGAGATTTGCCGCATTAATGCGGTTATGGCGTTAATGTCATTTTAATGAGATTAACGCTGACAACACAAAAAAAAGTATGTGTTCATAAATATGCATAGATTACTGTGTAATTATGTCTGTTATATCAAGAAATTGATGCACTCTGACAAACTTATTGTCAATCCATTGAAAAAACATAGGAGCAGGTTTTTGGTTTGTGGAAGCCTCCATATTTAATATTTACAGTGGTCAGGAAGGACATTTTTCTTCAGATGAATTCTGCATTTTTTGGATGTGGCTAGAGACAGGCCACATACAAACACTAAAGACCAAGGAGGGGAGAAGTGGTGTTTGCATGCCATGGAGGGAGATTTCAATTCATTTTTTTTCTATTTGAAAAATACAAATAGAACTACCTTTAATATCCTAATAGCAGGTCTTGAGTAACAAGTTATAGATTGTAACGTTCCTATCGCCTGCAGAAGCCTCTCCCATTAGACATCAAATAACCTGTTACTCTCTGTCTGCAGCCCAAGGCAAGCTCTACCTTAAAAAACAAGCTGTAAAATGCTAAAATCAATTCTAAAGGCCACATGTAACCAGTGCAGAGAAGCCAACATGAGGAAATGTGCCATCATCCTGTTAGTGCCCTTCTGATGGCTGCGTTTTTTTTTTGAAACCGAAGGCAGTCAATTGATTTTTGGGGGCAAATAATGAGTGACATTAACTCAGTTGCTGAAAAGACAGGAAGGACTTTTGTGCCTTGAAATGAAAAGATTGACTTCACAGTTGATTTTCAGCATACAGATGGTTCACTCTTTTATATCTTATAAGAAAGTCTGATTTTAGAGAAAGGATATAAATAAAGTATATAACGCCAGCAATTTAGATAATTTAAAAATGTAAAAAGTATAAAAATATTTTTTAAAATTTGATTTAATCCTTGCACTCCTCTGGAACCTACAGTAAGATAAACATGTGTCCTTTTCAAGTTTTTTTATTTGACCTTAACAACGGAGTAAAATATAACTCACATTAATCAAAATACCATTACAGAGGTAAGGAAGCACCTCGACTTTCTTTCATCAACTACACGTGCATGGATAGAGCTGGAGTTCTTTAAGTATTTCCCAAAGCCTTAGATCACAATTTTAGCAAAAGGTTTCTATCAAAATATTACAGATCTTAAACAAACTACAAAGTGTTAAAGTGAAAATGACAAGGGCTGGTCTCTGGATCTATGGGTTAGCTTTAGATGAAGCTGGGTTTGCCGTTTCATTTACAGTCTTTGTGCTAACATGAGCAAATTAACTGCTGTACAGACATGAATATGAACCCTTAGTAATAAGGCAAACATGCATGTTTACCAACATGTGAGACATTTAACAAAGAGGACAGACAGACTCAGGGACCAGTGTATGTTAAAAAAAAAGGAATGCTAACAAGTGGAACTGACTAAAAATTGGCTGGAGGTGCCTGCAATAACGACCTGTTTTAGATAGTGATTGGATTTAAATGACACCACAGCCGCATAAACTGCTGCCAGATAGGATGGAGAGTTACAATAATTAAAGTGCTGCT